AGTTGATTAAGTGATCAGTCAGCTATGATTAAAAGAACACGAAGTGTGAGTGGTTCACCTTGGCCAAAGGACTAAGACTACGTCCACTTGTGAAGGGAGTCTCTTGCTCCTCGAGGCTATATATTGCTTAATCTTTTATGGATACAATGGTGGTGAAAATATTTGGTTCTTACAAGGACTCAGTGCTATGTTCTAGCTGTTGGGTTCTTGGTTTGAGGGTGTCAATAGGAAGAAGTAGAAGAAGAGATAGAGTCCCTCCATTGGGTAACAATTCTTTATTTATACAACAATTCTTCTAGGGTTTACTTCTACCTCTCCTCCTTCTGTGTTGATTTCGTGGGTCCTCCCTTCTGCAGCCTGCTACTTCCTCTGTCATCCGACGCCATTGTTTCTACAATCTCTGGTGGTTATACGCTCCATCTTTTCTCTACTCTACAACTGTCGTAGGTTTCAAAGGTGGTCCCTAAGCCTCTAGGTTTACGTGGTTCAATGAGAATGATTCAAGTAGAGCATTTGGGTTTGGCTACAATTTTGGGGTTGATCATCAATTGGGCCGGATTGAGGTTGTATGTATAGTAAGCCCTCTGCTGATGTTGGGCTTTTCTCCTTTGGCTCGACCCTCTAGGCCAAAAAGATGTGGCCCAGCTGTGAGTCTCATATTCGGATCGCTTTGTTGTGGACTCATAAAGCCCCATATCTCAGATTTCGTCCTCATCAATTCTTATTTTTCTTCATTGAAGGATAGAAAGTGTATCCCTCATACTTTTCATCATTCCTACCAAACGAAACATTATACTCTGTTTAGTATGAAGGAAAAATAGAAGGATGAAAAGTTGGAAGGATAGATAAAACATCATGTTTGGTAAGGAAGAAAAATGTGAATGATGGAAAAGTAAATGAATGAACTTTCCTTCTAACTCACTAAAATCAATTCCTCCAAAATTAGAAGGAAAGTAGATGAAAAATTAATTATTTGTATTGAGATATATTTTATTTATCTATTTATTCTTTAATATATACATATATTATGTATGCATTAATTTCATATATAAATACAATGATAAAATATATATTTATACTTCTTTTAAAAAAAATAAAATAAATTATAAATTAAAAAAATATTTTTTCCTTCTTACCAAGCACCAAAAAAAAATTAATCATTTTTATTTTTCATTCATCATACTAAACATAAAAAAAAAAAAGTGTATCATTCCTACTTTTCTTCCTTGGATGATAGAAAATATAACCCTCCTACATTCCATTCTTTCTACCGAACAAAACATTACTCATTTGATGATTTATTATTTCACAAAAAAAATTGCGGAATAAAAGTGTTTTGGGGGGATATCTATATTATGTTCAAAAATTATTTTTTTAAAAAATAGGGACATGTATCCATATATCCATTGCCATTTCAAGCATGGATGTATATGCTACATGTTATTTTACAATTGGAACAAGTCTAAATGAATTAAAATCAAGCATGGTATGTGTATTTATCTCACAGTAGTTCCCAATATTGTACACCTTTTGATAACTCTTTAGACATAAATATGTTATCACTTGATCTTTTTGAGACTTTCTCACTACTCCTTTACTATTCTTAAGGGGTCAAGTTGAAATACCATATATAAGTTGGGTGCTTTTGAAAATTTCTTAGCCCTATGGTGGTTCCGTCCATGCTTATTAGTATTAAAATTTAGAGTAGTGTTATGTATTATAAATTTATAATCCAAGTTTACATTTCAAATTAAGGAGGACTATTAGATCAGTAGATGCCATCAACTTTTTTAAATAGGATTCACTAATTCAATAATTCTCTTTAATTTAAAATACAAATTTAAATTATAAATTTGAGATAAATATCTTTACTCCAAAATTTATAACTCTAATTAACTAATGAAATAGGCAATCATATCATTGTGTCGGGTGGAATCCGTAAGAAGTTCTGAGTTGGTGGATAAAATTAAATGACAGTAACTTTTGTGGGACCTGAGCTCGAAGGTGTGACATGTGGCCCCCACTAATTCCATCTTTTTTTTAATGCAGATAAGACAACCCATAATAGCTTATAAAAGAGCTGTCCAAAAGCAGTTAAACAACCCACTGACAAAAAGTATTGGGTGGCCAATTCAAGACCATGCACTTGTCCAATTCTCCCTTCTGCCTCATTGTAGTTTCATTACTATTTTTCAAATTTCCTACCCCCTCTCAATTCCCCCCTTCACCATCTTCTTGAGAATTCCAAAAATAGATTTTGATTTCAATTAAAATTTAAATTTGATTAGTCAAATATAAATTAATATATTTTTACGGATTATAAAAATTCAAATCTAATTTTGGTACATTATATATCATGGATTTATATTTGTGTATGCTAATATTTAAATTTGATCTGAACTACGCATTTATTTGTTATGCATAGGACAATCAATAAATCGAATTTTGATTCAAATTCTATGGATTAATATTTTTTATCAATGACTTGAACCCGATAAATCTTATCTGATTATGATTCAATCTGAATTATTTATATAATTTTATATTAATATTACAGTGATTATTTTAAAAAAATTAATTAAAATTTAGGTATAATTTATTAAAATTTAGTTAATTATGTTATTTGGATTTGAATTGTTAACGGATTTATATATGTATCACGAAAATAAAATCCGTCTGAAATTATCGGATTGAATTCGAATCAGACTTTTGAAATTGAATTCGAATTCAGATAAAACAGAATTCGATTCAAACTCAATCTATTGACAGGCCTAGTTATGTATGCAAAACACGCATGCAAATTTTCTTTTATATGCACGTTTTTTGCTTAAAAAGCACTAAAAATACAAAGCAGTTCATAATGCAGACCTATCTATCTACCTAATTAAAAAAAAATATATTGCATATTTTTAAACAAATTAGATGAAAGATGCTAAATATAATCAATGTCGGTCAAACCAAATGCTTCACAATTGTTTATTTAATCATTAATTACCAAGAAAAATAAATTGTTCGATAAGCAAAAAAACATCGAACTTATTAACGTAAAATTCAATGGTTCACCAGACTGAAGATTTTAGTTAGTCATTTCTAATGGAGTCTCTTGCTCCCTAATTTCTATTACTTGAGGAAGAAGATTGTCGCACACACCAATTTTAAATATCTTTAAGATTAATTTTTGTCTTCATTAAAGATTGTGTACTTCTTTCAATCATTTAGAATTACGAGAAAAAAATTTCGTTGTTAAAAGATCTTTGACAATATTTCAAGTGCCCTTCTAGACAAAAGAACAATAGGATGTAAGTGGGAATACAATCTCAAACAACATCCCAATGGTTCTATCTCTAGCTTGGTACAAAGCCAGTGGCCAAGGGCCTTAATCAAGAAGCTGTGTTTGGAATATGATGAGATATTTAGCCCTGTGGTGAAACACATTGCAGTGAGGTTAATTCTGCCACTTGCTGTTCAGTTTAAATGGCATCTCAGGCAACTAGGCAACTTGATGTGAAGAATACGTATCTTCACGGCAGCTTAAAAGAGGAAGTTAATATGAGTCAACCTCCTGGCTACATTGATCCCTCTTTTCCCCACTATGTATGCAGGTTACATAAGTCCATTCATGGACTTAAGCAAGCCCCTAGGGATTGGTTTGAGAGATTCTCTACACATATTCACACTTATGGGTTTATCTCCTCCAACTCAGACCCTTCTCTTTTCATTTGCATAAGTAGCACCAGTTCCTCTTATACGTAAAAGATGAGGTGTCATCTTGGAGGTAATATCTTTGTGTCCTAGGTCGGGCTAGCTCACTCAAATAAATACTCACAGATACACTAATTGATAATACTGATATTATATAAGTTTAATCTATATCTATATCTATATTATTTATCGGTTTTATCCCTAATTATTATAATAAAGACAATTATACTCACTTATGTGCTTTTATCTAATTTTTATTTTTTTACTTTTTTTTGACTTTTAACTTGTTTTGTACTATTTTATACAGATTTTTAAATTCTTTTGAACTCATTTATTAGTAGTACAAGTATATACAATCTTATATATCTATACGAATAAGTAAAGTCTTGTACATGTTAAATTATTATACACATGTAATTATCAGATTGAATTCTACAATCAAATATATGTTATATTTTATTTTTTAGTATGTAATAATATAATAATATTATAAACGATCTAATCAATCTATTTAACAATATAAAAATGAATGATTCTATAATATAATTAGCTCTACAAATGCCTAAAATAAATGAACTTACAAAAAAATAAGTACTTAAAGACTTATAGAATAAACTAATAATTAAATTTAATAATAATTAAAATAAAAATTAATTTGACATCAAATTTATTATTTAATTTAATTACACATATATTCACCTTTTCTATAAAAATTATTATTTAAATTTATTTACGAGCAATGCAAGTCGTGCATTGCTATTATATTTACTAAAAGATTTGACTAGAAAATTTTGGTACCATACTGAAAAATGAAATTTCGGTGTCATAATAAAATTTATTACATTTGTGATTACTCTTTTCATCTTTGTTGGTATTTTTACCACGATTGTAATACTAAAAAAAGGATAATAAAAATAGTTATTATAACAATATTAAAAAAATTCACAATAATAATAAAAAGAACTACAAATGTAATAAATTATTTATAAAAATAATAAATTTGATACCCATTTTTTTTTTGGGTAATAAATCAAGTCTTTTACTCAAAACACAACACCTACCAACCCAAAATGACGCAGCAATTGGATTCCCTGACCACCAATAGGTCCCATCAGGCCATCACACGTACTTGCCAGCCGAAAACACGAATAAGACACGCCCGAGGAACTAGAGCTATAAACTAGAGAGAGGAGGGGAGAGAGAGAGTGTGCGAAGGTTCTCCATTTGGAGAAAAACAATCAGAAGGCAGCGCACGATCCAGTCTACCCTTTTTTTGCTCTCACAATAACCAATCAATCATGCCATCAGGTGCAAAGAAGAGGAAAGCTGCCAAGAAAAAGAAGGAAATAGAGGCCAACAACGCCAGCTCTGCTATTCCCGCTAATGGTACTCTCACTCTTCTCTTTGCTCTTCACTTTTTCCAACTAATACATCTGTCACTCAATCATTCTATTATGTTGATGACCTTTATTCTTTAATCTGTCTCTGAAATTGGCTTGGTGGGTGTGTGTTAATTTCTCTTGTTTGGATTGATTCCCAATCGATTTTGCATACCCAATTGCATCCCAATTATACTCTCTCTCTCTCTCTCTCTCTGTATGTGTTTGTGTCAGTGTCTGTTGTGTCTGAAAATGGTTTGATGGTATGCGCCAGTGTCTCCTGTATTGTTTGATTTTGGGTTAGAAGTTCTTAACTAAACATTACTTCACAAGCCAATTGTCAGTACCTAAACACCCATATTGTTCTCGATTTTATTCCATCTTTTGTTGATTGATACTAATGACTTTTGGCTCAGCTTACTTGATGGGTATGTGCTAATTTGTTTCCTTTTCTTCATGTTGTGTTGAATTCTTGTGAATGAATCAAACTATGGTAGGAGATGATGATTCGAAGGGCGATGATGAGAAAGAGAGTGATGGTGGGGAGGTTAGCTCTCCTGCATCACAGGACCACCATAACCACCAGCATCCGTTTACCGAGGGAGAGGAGTTAGAAGCGGAGAAGAGAGAAATAGAGGTGGAAGGTGGTCAAATTGATAGTGAAGCGAAGCCTTCTGTATCACAAGACAACCATAGCCACCAGCATTCATTTACTGAGGGAGAGGTGGAAGAAGTGGAGAAGAGAGAAATAGAGCTGGAAGGTATAGTTCAGATGGATAGGGAATTGAAGCCTGCCCATGAATCCGAGAGCAAGGATATAAAGATTGAGTATGTTGAACCTGAAAGGAAAACACATGAGAAAGGTTCGTGGGAGAGCTCTAGTAGTAGTTCGGATGATGAGTCACAAGTTGAGAAGAATGTATTATTGGTGGTGACAGCCCCTGTTGTTGATTCTGCTTCCCAAGTGGTAAATCAAGTAATGGATTGCAATTCTCTTGAAGACTCCCGCAGTTCATTTGTGGAAACTGCCCTTGTTGTGGACTTGGATCATGTTTCATCGTTCGATGAGGTGATTCACCAAAACGGGAGTGCTTCAGTGGATAAGTCTGTGAATTGTGATGTGGTTCAATCAGTGCTGAAGGAAAATGGGGAGAAAAAATTACCCTTATTGGATGGGAATGTTAGATTTTCACCAGTTGTGCTCGATTTGGGATCCCAAGAAAAGGAGAATGTAGTAGTCTCAAAATCAGATGAGAATGCTGTGGCATCTTCAGATGCAACGCAACAGAATCGTGATAAACTGTTGCCATCATACGATGCTCCTAGGAGTGATAATAGTAATGGTGTGGAGCATGCCAAAGATTCTGAGGTTCATGAAAATTGCTCTGATAGCCAGGTATAGCCCTATTATTTTCTTGCTTGAGGCATTGGCTTGTCACATGTTTGCTTCAATCTCAATGAATACATACATGCTTTATCAGAGGGTGATTTATTTGTTTTATTCATTTTAAATTTATATGCAGCCTCTCGTTGCTTCAGCTCCACAACTGGTGCAAACAACTTCCTGGAAGAGTTGCTGTGGACTTTTTGAGTTGTTCACAGACTCCAGTAGGTGATTTCAGGTGGGAAAGCTTCTATACTGTCCAAAATAGATGCGGACATGAGTTTTTTTTTATTGTTGCAATAAGACTAACCATGCGTTATGGTACATATTGTTGCCGGCTAAGAAACGACACTTTTAGAACTCAAGTGTGGTTAAGTTGAAAGTGGTACTGTAGGCTGGAGGAGAAAACTGAAGAAAAGAATAAGACGGGAGGAGAAGAAAAGAATGCAATGTGAAATAGGGTCTTAATCTGAGTTGAGATCATCCCTACACCCACGTATATATGTTAAACCTAATCCAGAAACTGACAATAGCACCTCTCATTTCTAGACTAGCAATTTAAGCCAAAACTCCCCCTCGAGGGGGTCCATAGTGTGCAAGTTGCATACACGTGAATGAAAAAAACTACTAAAAGGAAAGACATAGGAAGTTGGTTATCATGCTTCAGAAATGATGCATAAATCAAGCCTTTATCCTGGTTCTCCTCAAAGAATTGGTAATCAGTTTCAGCATATATTTTTGGGTTGTGAGGAATGTTGATGGTGATTTTATTGTCACCATTCCAAAAATAAAAATTTTGTTTCGATGCCTAGTTTAGGTCAGCTTAGATATGACGTGGCGGAAAAAAATTCAGAAATACGAAGATAATAAAGAAAAAATTTAAAAACTTATTTGTCTAACATTCGGAAACATTGATCGAAACATAGAGATGTCGATATTAATTACTGATTCGTTGTAGTTTTCATGAAAATGAAAATATTTTGACTGTTTCGAATCAAAATTTAGTTTCTTAATTGTCACAGTATGGATACATATGGTTGACAAAGACAGGGGCGGGGGCAATTGCCCCCACTGAAATTCTGAAAATTTGTAGGGTTAATTTAAAATTATAATAAAAATTAATTTTTTTAATCAGTTGCACCAATTCATTTTTTTTTAATACACTACAAATTTAGACTCAAGATTCGCTCATAGAGACTTAATCTCACAATTTTTTATTTAATCTCTAGTTATCTTTATTCTTTTTACAATGACTCACTTAAGTTACTAAATCAATCCTTCTCCGAATTCGATTACTAAGACATAGATATATATTTTTGACAAATTATCTAAGTTCAAATATACTACATCATTTTCTAAGATTTTAGATTTGGGCGCATAAAAAAATTTGATCTAATTATGATTCAATTCAATTGACTTCGATTCAATTTGATATGCATATACAAATATGTATATGTAAACATTTGATAAAATTAAACAATTAAATTGAATTAAAATTACAATGCGACACACACACACACACATATATATATATATATATAAGAATAGATTTTTGATAAAATTCATAATATTTAATAGATTCGAATATGGATTAAAAAAACGAAATCAGTTAAATAATTGGATTAGATTTAAAATAAGATTTTCAAGACAAATTGTCATTCGGATGAGTCAAAATCTTATCATTTACAAGTACACTCACAAAATGATATGTCAAAATAGTATTTTATATGAAAACTGTCTTTATTCTAATGTTTTAAAAAAGAATTATATTATTTTTTCATAGTTGACTATCATTTTTTCATGTGTATTTATATGTGACATCTTTGAAAGTTAAAAAAATAATGTGAAGAATTATTTTATAAAAGGTGTTAGATTAGGAATTTTTTTTTTATAGAGAATGAAATTTTGAGATAATAAATATGTTCACTAGATGCAACGAATTTTGATAATTGTTGAATAATCATTCTTTTTAACTTGATGGTTGCCTGCGGTTCTCTTTAACTTGATGGTTGTCCCCATTGAAAAGAAATTCTGGCTCCACCCTTGGTCACAGATTAACTTATATACATTTGTTGTGGTACTTGTTGAAACATCTCTGAATGTTGATGACAAAAAACCCATCTAGTCTAAAAGCTTATTCTATTATTAGGGTGTAATTTAAGTATTTATATTTTAACATGTCCCCTCAAATGCAAGCTAGATTTTGGACCTACCCAAGATCTTTTAATAATTAGGATGGTGACAATATTTGAATACAAGATCTCCTACTTTTATATCATATTAAACAATCATCTACGCTATAGCTTAAGCTATTAGAGAGGACATAACTTAGATATTTAAAAAAAAAAAGGTTAACATCTATAAGTACCCCATAGTGTCCACTAATCTTGTTTTGTTTCCAGAAAATGATACATTTTTGCGGATATCTTTGCATGTAGGGATGTTTTTAGCCTCCAACTATGCTGTGGACAAGTATAGTTTTCTGTCTGTTTATATTGTTGAAGTGGTGGTCTGAAAACATTTGCCCATGTAAGAGTGCTAGTGTATTCCCCCCTTTTGTGTCTGTTTTGGTTTTTACTTTTATTGTTATTTGGGACTAATAGTTTGATCTGAACCCCCCCTCCTAGGTGGGGCTAAGAAGTTACGTAGTTGAAAATTTGGTGCCTCGTAAAGAAGTTAAAGTCATTCTTAAATGACTAAGTTTTACTTATCGTCGATACATCCTTTTTGCTGGTTTTTCTGAATCTTTAGCTTGGGAGATAGTGGCTACTGTCGGCCAAATTTAGATTGTTGTTGGTTAAGATGTGGGAGTCACATTTTGAGTGCAGTACCCAATAAATTCAACACACGTCTCCACCATAACAGGACAAGTAGCAATAATTATTAGTTGATATGGAAATGGCACCTAACAGCGTCAATTGGACTGGTGTAGATAACAATACCATGCGTGATATCCAAGGTGCGACGCCTATGTGCGACGCCCTCAGGCACAACATCGCAACAGGGCGACATACATCCCTATCGCATTAGAGGTGGAAAAATGGATCCTTCACCAAGGCCAGACAGAAGTGGAATCGCAGTAGTGTGGGAGCAACCTCGGCGAGACTTGCCTCCCCCGCTGCGAGAATGGTTTTCTTAACCTTTTGGATGTCGTTCCTTGACTGACTCACTGGACTAAGAGGTTTCCCCACCTAGAGACGAGGGAGTATGGTCCTCCTCAAGGGAGAATTAAGCAATAGGGGCGGATGAGCACGATTGTCAACTTCGGCCTGGGACAGGGTCTCGAAAGTTTAGTCTGTTCGAGCACGCCTCTCAGTATATGGCTCATTGCCCACTAGGATATGCTTGGCTGGGATCCAGAGAGACTCTTAAGGTAACTGAGATTATTTGCCCGGATCAGCATATGGGATGATGGGACATGTGGATTGGTAGTTGATGGATCAAAATTATGTGAGTTTCCTCTATTGGACACTTCGACAAAAGTCTCAAGAAAGAGTCTAGAGAGGGAAAGAAGGACCCCGGGTGGGAGCGTGCTAGGGGCATCGCGGACATGGCCCTCTCGAGGTCATGGCCCCACGGTGACTTGGCTGTTGCACCTTTCTCAAGGTCATGTGTAGGTTGCGTTTGGAAAAATATCACATTTGCCTAGTTAATGTTGGGACGCATAGCTCGCGTTAACGACCACTAGTACCGTCGTAGTCAAGGCGGTTGTGGGATTGCATGGGTGATTGGGGGTCGCAGCGGGCATCCCTTTGGGCAGCCTGACCTTCCCGGGCACTGTGCTATAAATATCCACATTATTTACCTGCTGCAAAAGCTGATTTTTCTGGTTGGTGAAAGCATTTTTCACCTACCTTTTGTCCAATTGGTTCATCTCTTTGTTAATAGGCTACTCGAGTTCCTTCCATCCCATCCACTTATCCTACTCACGCCCTTCGATTACCCTTGGTATAGACACACGTGTCAACCTCTTTTAACTCCCCACCTACACTGAGATTCAGGCATAATGAGGTGAAATAAAATCACAACCTCTTGTGCGGCTAGTGGCTTCGACGAAGCTAGCTTAGTGTTACTTTTGAAAATAACAGACTGTTTGGTCTTCGTGTAATTTTTGCATCTGATGCTGCCAATTTCATATATTGAGAGACAGCATTTTCAAGGTTTCTGAATTGCCAACATAGATAATTTTCAAGGTTTCTGAAGGCAAGTCTATTAGCTCGAAATCCTTGTTAATTTTGAACTTTTTAAAATATAATAACACTTCAATTAGCACATCTTGTTAGTGCCTGTTTGCTCTGAAAATTCAAAAGTAGAGATATTATTTGAGGATAAATATGTCACATAACTTTTTTAAGCATGGCACCCTGTCAAATAAATATTTTGAGCAGATACTAATCCTGAATGAGTCAGTTAGGAAATTGTGCGGAGACCCCTTCCTCATTCTTAATGTCTCCTCTCTCTACCCAGCTTGTTGATTCCTGGGAATGGACATTCCAAATATTTGAACCACATCTATAGATCTTATTCTCTCCTTCTCTGCAGTGTGTAAACAGTTTTTAACAGTAAGATTTGCTGACATTGTGGCATCTTCATACCTTTATGAATGGGAGGAACAGAAAATTTTTAAAAATAGGATCTATGCCCAATGGATCACACTATGAAGAAAAAGTTATCTGTTATGGTTCGACCAGTACTCCCATATGAAATTATGGACGGAATATATTTAGCAACACCCCCCCTTCCTTCTCCTTAAAAAAGGGAAAAAAACCTGTTGCAAGAAAGGGATAATGGGTAACTACTTTATATTCCTTTTTTTATTAGAATATTAATGGAATGTGGAAAGAGAAAAGTCTGTTGGTCTTTGTTAGGTGTAGGTAAGGGATAATTCGATCTAGGTTTATTTTACATTGTTGAGAATATTAACAATGAGACTTACCGAAGATATTAGTTTTTCAAACTTTAACTTGTGTACAAAGACGCCCGGGTCTAGATCCATTTGCGCTACTATTGGATGCGATTTGGGTTGTGTTAAGACTGGAGTTTTTAACCCAGCACATGTCATGATTTTTAGCTCAAGAATCTACAATGTCATCTGGTATTCAAATACTTCTGTTGCCTTTCTTATTTGTGATTCTGCTTAATTATCTTACAAATTTATAAATGCCCGAGACTCTGTTGCCTGCTCACTCCACGTTAACCGAGACTTGATAGAAATATTTACTTCGAAGACCATAGATATTGCATTGAATCATGGCTAACATCGTTTCTCTAATGCAGAAGCAGAGCATGAAGGAGATGGAGTGGACAATTGAAGCTTTTGGAACTCTAGAAGGGTTTGGGTCATGAATATCTGTAGTTCCTTTTCTAGATTCTCTGTCTGAAAAATAATGAGACGCTTGTATACCACCAAACTAAGATTTTCAGTAATATTAGTTTTTTTCTTGGGAGGCAGCTCAGAGTTCTTAGTTTATATGATACTGCTTTCTTTATGATTTTGCATTGGATAGTCATTTTTCTTTCTTGTTGATGTGTTTTATTCGTTTCTTGAGGAAGACGGTTGCATATTCAATAAGAAACTAGAGAATGCAAAGCTTTAGAACATTCACCATGAGATTTACTATTTGTTTTGCTGCCGTCATTCTGTGGTTTCTCTTGACATCTCTCTCTCTCTCTCTCTCTCTCTCTCTTCCTTCTTGATGATTGGCTCATGGCTTGTACCTTGTCCTATTTTATGCGAATGTAATTGATAATAGCGCACATTACAGCTTTGGAATCGGCGATAGGGGCATTAGAATGAGTAGGACTTGATTATCATTTAATGTTGTTAGTTTATATTTTAGTTCACGTCATAGGCACAGTTGTGTTTGATTATCGAAGATTCGCGTTGAACTTATGTGGTGATTGTATTTTGAACCATTCACACCAAAGTGGAAGTAATGCCTGTTCTATGAGAGATGAATATTGACCTTTGGAGATCATTCGAAAGCTGTAGGCTACTTTCAGTATGATCTGGAATTCTGTCTTGCTCTGTTTGTGAAGAACACAATTATGGAAAAGGCTAAAAAAAATAAGAAAAAGAGAATGCATCTGGCCAGTAGTTACTATTTAAAACAGAAGAACAATTCCAAAGTCTTTGTTTAGAAATGTAAAACTCCATGATTCAAATGGTACGTTTTGGGTTCGAGTCTGAGAATCATCATATTATAAACGGCACTAGGTATGACTTTCTTACGAACGGAGAATATATTTTGCTATTCTTTCCTTTTTAAGTTTGATGTAGTCTGAACAAAAAAAAAAACTCAAATTTGCTCCAGAAAGTGTACACAAACAACTTCAAAATACTCATTATACATCACTTATTATTTGTCAAATACAAATGCAATCAAATCACGCCTGTCAATAAACAACCTGCCAGTTCCCTGGCAAAATTTTGTAGGCAACCAATCGTGAGGAAGAGGAAATTTTGACACGAGAAAAAAAAAACATCAAACGTCTACCACACACCACACCGATTTTAAGATTTTCTTGTCAATGGAGCGCTATGAATGGCAGCTATGTATAGCAGTTGAGTAGCCGAAAGGATAATTAAGAATGCTTCCATTGTCCTCTGCAAAACAAACAAACGACTAGGTCAATTTTATGTAAATTTTCCCCAGTTTGTTAGGCAAGAGGATGAGATAAAGTAATTCATGACTATGTTTGTGATAGAGAGTCGGTTATATATTCACCAGACGAGCGTTTCTGATATGTAGTTCGATTTCTTTGCAGGCAAACCTGCAGAAAACATACGTGCTCATTAATTTTAAGAAAAAACTAGATAAAATTGGTTCAAAACTTCGACTGTGATGTTAAGAGATTCAATAAAGATGAAATCGTGGAAGCTGGTGATATGGGATGGGTGATTACAAGTGATTAGACGGTTCCTACTTAGCAACAAAATCTAAGCAACACCTATTGTTGTCCACTCATATATTTTGCAAACTACAATCTACTTAGCTCATCAATTAACATGATAGTATTTTACCCCATGGCAAGGAGAGTAAGAGTCCAAGCAATAGTGGCAGCAGAGGCAGCTGAAGGCAGGCTGTCAACGTTCCAAGATCGGATATGATTGGCTCCGGAAATGGCAGATGCAACTCCAACAACACCAGCTAACAACGCAAACATTACAAAGAATCCGGTGGCAGCATTTCCCATCGGGAAATAGATAGGCGAAAAGTGAGCCGGAAGGTCAAATCCTGGACCTGTTAGTTAAAAATTTACATACAGGATTAGCATGACAAGCTTAATTCAAGTGCATGAAGTGTGAAAAGAGTTTCAATATTGAGAGGAAGCTGAGTTACCAATGATGAAGCCATGCTCAATAGCTCTATTCATTGCCCAACCACCAATGCCCAGAACCACAACATACATGCAGAGATTAAGGACCAAAAGAAGCATCGCGACGGGTTTTAGCTGGTCACCAGCCATTCTGGCCCTCTATAAGGTAGAAGATAGTGAAAAGTTTTAAGAGAAAGAAAGGAAGTGTAATGCAGGAAAGTTTAATACAGATACATGGAATTTATGCAAGGTTGGGGGGTGGGTCTTATAAGGGCCTAGGCTAGGGGGGTTTGGTTCTTTTCTTGCAAGGTTGTGTGTTCCAAATAGCTTTGTGGGGTTATAAAGATGATGCTTCAAATTGAAGGCAAATGTGGCAAAATTGGATGCTTTCTTTGCCAACATTTATAGGCTTTTCTTTTTGATTGGTACATTCTCTGATTAGGCTTTGTGTTGGTTCTAGTAGTTCTTTCCTGGGGGGAAAGTGATATTCCTTGACAGTTGCAGAGGATCAGCTGATGTGTTAAAACTGTGTGGTTCCACTTAATCGAATGGTGTTATCTGTGTGGGTCCACTTAGGATCCTATACTTGATTTTGATCCTCTCAATTTCAATTGTTTTCAATATATTGTATAGACTTCCTATTGCTTTTTTGAGTAAATTAGGCATTTGGCCCTCAAATTATGACTCTTATATTAATTAAGTCCTTAAACTTTATTTTTGTGAGTCAATAAAACCCCTAAACTATCTAATTGTTTCAATCAATCCCTTATGTTAGGGTTTCTAATGGAAGAGTGTAGAGTGTGCCGATCACATGCCTTATTTAGGGTCATTTTAGGCAACCCCCATTAAAGACATGAGTAAATTATCTATTTGGCCCTCAAATTATGACCCTTATGTCAATTAAGTCCTTGAACATTGCAAATGGTTGACCTTTCGTTTGTGAATCTCAAATGATAATAGAGTTGCTCTATGAGATTCATAGATGAAAGACCAACTATTTCAAGGGTTTAATTGATATAAGGGTCATAGTTTGAAGGCTAAATACATAATTTATTCATGTCTTTAATTGGGTTATCTAAAACACCCCTAAAGAAAGCACGTAACCAGCACACTTCACATCCTTCCGTTAGAAACCCTAACACAAGAGTTTGATTGAAACAATTAAATAGTTTAAAGGCTTAATTGACTCTAAAAAAAAACATTCATGGCCTTAATTGACACAAATGTCATACTTTGAGAGCTAAATACATAATTTACACTTTTTATTTATTTATTTATTTATAAAAGGATAGATGAATCATGTATTCAAATAAGACCCATTTATATATGTTATAATTTCACATGATTTCGTGTTGGGTGATTTTAAATGATGAAAAATCTCTAAAAGGGAACCGAAACAATTTCCAGACTCCTTGTGAAACTCACAATGATTTGCACGATGGATGTTTAAACTTGATTGAAATTCTTACAAAATAAAAAGGTTCCAATAATTCCCCTAAATACAATTACATTAAAAAGTGAATAATTCCCTCCTCAAATGCTTAATTTTTAAAATTTTGAAATATTTAATCACATATATCCAATCAAATGATTCCATTTGGCTTATTTAACCCATATTTTATAATTACTTTCACTATCTTTCAAATTTAAAATTTCACTTATATTTCTTCACTTTTTCACGTTTAATAAAAATTATTTTAACTCATAACTTATTTTAATATTTGATGGGACTTACAATCAAGCCAATGACTATATGAATTAAATTAATAAATTAAATCATTAAATTAAGTTCTAATAACATTGCTTATTTTTTATGTTCCGTTTGATAGGAAGAGTAAAAAGTAGGAGAGTTACATTTTCTATCTTTCAATGAAGGAAAGTAAAAATGATACACTTTTCTTCCTTTGTGTTTGGTAGGATGGATGAAAAATAAAAATGATTAATTTTTTTCTTTTGCCTCAGCTAAAATCAGATGTGACAATCAAGTCGTGTCGTGTAAAGTTCGTGTTGAGTTGTTACGGATTTGTGTCGAATATTAGTCAAACCTAACTCAATTCATTTAACTAATTGTGTCATGTCGAATTGACCTATTTATTTTCGTGTCTTATCCGTGTTCGTATTCGTTTTGACCCACAATAAAAAATTTAACTTTAATATTCTATTTTCACTTAATTGAATCTATGTTCATATTTTTTATACAAACTAAAAATTAACTTAAATAAATATAATAATAATAATAAGTAAAAATATCTTTTTTATATAATAATTATAAAAGTACTTAATAAATAATTAACTTTTCATTCACTTTTCTTTCGATTTTAGAAGGATTGATTTTGGTGAGTTGAAAAAAAAATTAATTCATTCACTTTTTCATCCTTTCTACTTTTTTTTTATTTATCAAACATGATATTTTTATTTATTTTTTCAACTTTCCATCTTTTAAATTTTTCTCTCTTTACTTTTTTTATCCTACCCAACGGAGCCAGTGGTTAGAATTTTTGTTAATTTTTTTTTTAATTTTACTACCCAAATGAGTCCATCTCATCTACCACCAACAGTACAAGTGGGGCCCTGTTACAAATTGCTACTTGTGCCCCTCCTTGACCTCAGCCCTCAAAATGCTACCCAACAACCAATGCTCTCTCTGGTGACCGTTGTTGCTCCGATGAACAGTCATGCTAACCTTTCCCGCCATAATACAAAAACTCATACCTTCGCCCAAATCATTCCACATCTCACGTATTGCTTTACTGAATACTGTCACAAAACCCTCCAATTCTTTCATGGGTATTTCAAGTTTTACCCAACGGAGCACTTCCTCTTACAGTTCAATACTCTCAGATCACCTAAGGACGCAAAGAATCGACGAAGCTCGTCTGTTTTTTGATACAATCCCATCTCCCAATGTATATTTATGCACTAAAATGATTGGAGGCTACACTGAAAACTATAGACTTACTGAGGCACTGAAATTGTTTGACCAAATGCTTGTTAAAGACATAGTTATGTGGAATTTGATGGTCAAAGGCTGTTTGGATTGTGGGGATTTGGATATGGGTTTTAAGCTTTTTGATGAAATGCCTGAAAGGAATGTGATTTCATGGACAACAATGATAACTGGATTGTTGAACTTTGGGAGAGTTGAAGTGGCTGAGAGGTTGTTTCTTGACATGCCAACGAGGGATATAGCTGCTTGGAATGCTATGATTTATGGGTATTTTGGGAATGGTAGAGTGGAGGATGCTATGAAGTTGTTTGAGGCGATGCCTTGTAAGAATGTGATTTCATGGACTTCAATGATTAGTGGGCTAGATCAGCATGGGAAAAGTCATGAGGCTCTGTTTGTCTTTAGAAAGATGGTGGATTCTGGTGTTGAACTGACATCGAGTACGTTTTCATGTGTAATAACAGCTTGCGCTAATGTGGTGGATTTATGCCTAGGTTTTCAGGTTCATGGGCATATTTTCAAGCAAGGTTACTTGTTTGATGTGTATATAACTGCATCACTCATCACATTTTATGCAAATTGTAAGCTAATGGATGATTCTTGCAGGGTTTGGAATGAGAAAATGCATATGAATGTGGTTGTATGGACTGCTCTTTTAACAGGCTATGGTTTGAATGGTAGACATGAAGATGCATTGAAGGTTTTGGGTGACATGTTAAGAAATGGGGTCCTTCCCAATCAATCTTCTTTCACAAGTGCCTTAAATTCATGCTGTGAAATGGAGGCTGTTGATTTGGGTAAGGAGATTCATGCAGTAGCTGTCAAGCTGGGGCTTCAAACTGATGCTTTTGTGGGTAATTCTCTTGTTGTATTGTATTCTGAATGTGGAAATATGAATGAAGGAGTAGGCATATTTAACGAAATAGCTGACAAGAACATTGTATCGTGGAACTCGATTATTGTTGGATGTGCGCAACATGGGTGTGGCATGTGGGCACTAACATTCTTTAGCCAAATGATACGTGCTGAAGTTGACCCAGATGATATTACATTCACTGGTTTGCTTTCAGCCTGTAGTCATTCTGGGATGTTACAGAAAGGAAGAAACTTTTTTCAATATTTACACCACTCTATGTCCCTCAAGGTAAAATTTGAGCACTATGCCTGTATGGTGGATATCTTGGGCCGAAGTGGGAGATTGGTTGAAGCGGAGGAGTTAGTCAAAAACATGCCAATGAAAGCAAATTTGTCGGTATGGTTAGCTCTGCTTAGTGGTTGCAGGATGCATTCTAATTTAGAAGTGGCTGAAAGAGCTGCAAAAAGTATTTTTGATCTTGATCCAAATTGCGGTGCTGCTTATGTCTTGTTATCTAATGTGTATGCTTTTGCTGGTAGATGGAATGATGTTGGAAGAATTCGAGGGAAGATGAAAAGGAGCGGAAGCATAAAACAACCAGGATGCAGTTGGGTTAGTCTAAAGGGATCAAGGCATGAATTTCTTTCTGGAGATAGTTCTCACCATTTAAGTGAGAAAATATATCGAAAGCTGGACTGGTTAGGAGAGAAGCTGAAGGAAACCGGTTATATCCCTGATCAAAGGTTTGCTTTGCATGATGTTGACGATGAACAAAAGGAAGCGATCTTGTCTTACCATAGCGAGAGGCTTGCTATTGGATTTTGTCTGATTAGTACGGTGGAGGGGAGTACGATAACAGTAATGAAGAACCTTCGTGTTTGTGGGGATTGCCATTCTGCCATTAAGCTCATAGCAAAACTTGTTGGGCGTGAGATTGTTTTGAGAGATTCTAGCCGCTTTCACCACTTCAGGGATGGCTTTTGTTCTTGCAGAGATTACTGGTAGCACCATTGCTTTTACCTTTGAAATGTTACAAAGATTTGAGATCTATTCAGGAGGGTCAAGATGTTTCTTGGTGTGGTTACTGGTTAAGCACTACTAAGTCACAATCTATGGCCAAAAAGAGGAACACTGTTTATAGATTGCCAAGAAATGTAAATGCCTCTGCCAGTGCAAAAACACTGCAAGCATGTTTTAAAGAACACCCCTTCTGGTTTGAAATTACCAGTAGAGGTATTGGTTGAAATGATTTGTTATTCAGCCTATAGTTGTGACCTGAGGTCATGTGTTTGAGTCATAGAACCAAGATCTCCACGCACACAAGGAATAAGTACAAATACATCTGACACTTCTCAAACTACACAGTGACGGGGAGCGTACATTTGGGCTGCTCCAATTGGTTGAATGGTGAATTGAAAAGTGAAGACCGGAAATGTTCACAGAAATGGTTCCTTATTTTCCAGTTCGAAAAACCTTGCTTTGGCGGTGCTGATTAACCAGTTTTCACAGCGTAAGCACACCGCAGTTTGAGTTGTGTTGGTACGAAATTTTACGTGAATGTAAATAGTTGAATTAGTAGAAGTGTCAAAACAAGCCCTTATATAAAATACCCTAATGATCACAGTCCATATAAAGCGTTAGCATTTCAATGCTACAGGCGCCAAAAACTCTCATTCGAAACCCACCCCCCTCTCTCTAACTTTCTCTCTGTAGCAAGAAAGAAGCCCTCACACTCTGCAACTTCAAGCACACTACCAGCGTCTTACTTTCTCTCTCTCTCTACATGCATATGAATGTGTGTGCAAGTCTATATACAATGTTCTTGATTAATTTCTGAAACTTTGTTTGTTGTTGAAAGATCATCCATGGCGGAAGGTACAAAAAATGGAGCCGATTTCACTGAGAAAGATAGGAATGCCAACGAGGAAGAGGAAAAAAAAACCTAAAGGCTGCAATCGAACTATTCAAGAGCAATCGAGAGGTCATCAACAAGAAGCTAAACGAGTTGCGAATTGAGTATGATGGCGATCACAAAGATCTTAATCTTCAAGGTTCTGAAAATGCCGAAGGAATCAAACAGAAAATGTACGGATTGATGAATGAAATTAATAAACGAGATGATTTGAAGAAGGCTTTGAATGATCGGAAACGATCTGTCAAGGTCTCTCGCTCTCTCTAATTGATTATTTTTCTGTATAAATTATTTAATTCTTTTATTGTGGATTTCTGTATCGCTGGAACAGGAACAGAATTCACAGAGCAGAACTGCAATGAAAAGATAGAAAACGAAATTCCCAGCAAACTTCTAATATTGAGCCATGGGGTTCAAGAACCAGACCAGAAGGCGTGTAAATTTTTATTTTTCATAAGAAAAAGATGTATAAATTCGAAACTGAGTTGTCACATGAAGAAGAAAGAAGCAAAGAGAAAATGGGGGGAAAAAGTAGGAATATTCGAATTTAGCAATCAAGAAGTGAAGAAGAATATGAAAATGTTTAGGCTTGAGCTTGGTCGTTGGGATCACTATCTTGAAATTCCTGCGAAATTTGAAGATCATCTGAAGGAGGCCTTGAATGGGATCCAGAAAATGTATAATCTGAAGAAGTTGAAAGAGACTCTGGAAGAGTCTGATCAATTTAATGATCATACCAAAGGCGATTGTGAATGGATGAACAAGTTGAATGTGAAGTGGAAAGACTGTGATCGATCCGTTCTTAGCATTGTTCTTGATGATGTAGAAGATAAAGAAGTGATGAAAAATGATGTAAATGAGAAGCAGAAAAGACTAATCAGTTGGATGAAAAATCTGAGGCCTTAGAAGAACAGATATACAATCAAAAGGAACAAATGAAATCACAACTTGTAAAGCTCAGAGCAATGGTGAGAAGGAATCAAACTGAGGGCAGAGTCAAGGATTCGAAGGAGACGACGACTGAGGAAGAAGAGGAACTAACAATGGTAGGTGGTGTTGCATCAAGGGATAAGTTGCCAGATACAGAAATGGACTGATGGGATTGAAGCTGATATCGGCCACCATTGCGGTAGTTACCGGAGCTTTGACAGCAATGGTTGCTCTGTTTTTTCTCAACATTTTCTAGGCAACTTGCACTGAAATGGTTAGAAATTATGTAGTGTATGAGTTCTTAGTTGATTTTACTTGAATTGCTCTTTGATAAGATGATCCATGAATTTTTCTTGCTAATAGCTCACATCCAATTTGATAATTCTCTTCAGATTATCAATTTGCCACTGGTCCGGTCTGATAGCCACCGTCTTATGAGTTTAAACTTCGTTTTCTCCTTTTTGTAATAATGTCTAACCAACAAAAAACATAATATAACGTTAGAGTCACACATATTACATAGCTGAGCAGCTAAATTGACATACATATTAATTCAAAGGCTTAATTAATATAAATAGAGCAATGTTCTGTATACCAAAATTTGCACTAAATCATTTGTAGTCGTTGGATTAGTGAATCCCATCATTGAAACAACTACTACAATTGATTTGATGTAAATTTCGGTACACATAGAATTATCCTAATATAAAAGTCATGTTAGTAGTTAACTCTTCTTATCTATATCTATATCTATAGTACTACTTATAAATGTAAACATATGTGAAAAAATTTTAAAATTTTATTTTATCCTTAATTATTATAATAAAATCAATTACACACCCATATAAATTTTTATATAATTTATATTTTTTACACCTATTTAACTTTCAACTTGTTTTGGACTTTATAAGAAGTTCTAAATTTTATCGAAATTATTTATTAGTAATATAATTATATACAATTTTATATATCTATATGAAGAAGTAATGTCCTATAGAAGTTAAATATTATACACATGTAGTTATCAAGTTTCCACGGTCCAATATATATATATATATGTGTGTGTGTTTTTTATATGCAATAATAATAATAATAATATTATAAGCTATGTAATCAATCTAGTTAATAAAATATAAATTAATAATTATATAATATAATTAGATGTGTAAACGTTTAAAAGGGTCTCAGAAATACCTAAATAAATAACATATTAGGTACTCAAAAACTTATAGAATAAATCAATAAGTAAATTTAAAAATAATTAAAATACAAATTAATTATTTAACACCTAATTTATTATTTAATTGAATTACACATATAAATCATATTTTCTATAAAAATAATATTATTTAAATTTGTCCTTGGTAGTAATACAAGATGACCTATCATTTAGGAAAAATAACATATAACCCTTATTTATTCTAGACAAAAAACGTGAAATACTATCAAATTTTCAGTCAAACAACTAAACCTTATTTTTTCCAACATAATTCAAAAAAGTAGTAATTCTATTATCCTTCCATTTTTGCCCATTAAGGCGTTAAATCTCATGTAGAACCTTATATATTTGGTGTGAAACCCAACCATGCATTGCACGATATCTAGTAAACGTTAGGAATTAATGTGTAATTTATGATGATTAATTTAAGAGTTAAATTATAGTTATGAAAATTATGGTAGTTGGGGAAAATTTTGAATTATAAACCTAGGAGTTGATTTTTGTGATAAGAATTGTATATGGTTATGAACTATAAAAAAGGGGAAATGTTCTGGGTGTAATTTATAAGTGGTCATAAGGTATGTGGTGTGTGTGTGAATGGGTGAAACTAAAGGGGACCTAAGGGTAAATGGGTGTAAAAGGGTGAATCACAAGAGACTTTGTCTCTTGCTCAGCGTGAGAAAGAGAGAAGAAAGAAAAAGGAAAGGAAAACGAACTCAGAAGGCCAAGAGTGAAGAGGAACTTAGCTGTGTTACATTTTGAAATTTCGGGTGGGATGGATTAAAGGGTATTCCTATCGGTAAGAAACTTTTCCTAAAACCTTATGTATTTTGTTGTTAAAAGTTTATGAAAAAGAGTTTGGTTTCCATTGTAAACAATGGATTCGGTTTTGGTTTTATGAATTGGATTAGGATTGCAGTGGACCAAAGCGGGGACGGAGGTATAGTCTCCATCTTCGTACCCGTTTTAAAAAACTCTGTTCAACCTCGGTTCATTCTCATTAACGGGTATATTTTTCATCTTCATCCCTGTTCGTGAGTAAATTTATAATCCCCGCCCCTGTCCGGTCCCCCGCCTTCACCCCCACCCCCGCCCCTGTCTACCTTATCCGCCAAAGCTCAAGTCTAAGTCCAAGTCAACATAATTTAAAATTCTAACATTTTAAATAATTCAACATAATTATAGAATATCATAATATAATTAAAAGCTTGTCATTTACATCCAACATAATATAATTAAATACTTGTCTCCCATGTAAATCTAATACAATATAATGCAATACAACATAATATAATATAACATAATTCAACATAAAAAAAAATACAAAAACACAAAGATCTATACTTTCACAAGTTAAAACATGAAAAAAAAAATCAAAAAATAAATCAATTTTCAAAAGAAAATATTATTCAATAATATATAGATTTGTATTCACAACAATATATAAATATAATAATAATAATAATAACAGGTAAAATAGGGCCGGGAGGGGAAAGGTTAGGGTAAGTGTCAGTCCATCTCCGCACGGGTTTATACAGATATTTCCTTATACGTTCACCGTCCAATACGTATGGTCCATTCTCAGTTTAAACGAGACGAATTTGAACGAATACGGTCCATTGCCATCCCTAAATTTGATATTGAGTATATTGTTAGCATAAAATTTGATGGTATGGATGTTGGGTATTGTGGGATTAAAAGGAAAAAAAGTTAGGAATGAGTTGAAATTGAAACGAAGAAGAAGAACATGGTAGAACTGGTATCACATTGAAGAACAGGTTCTAGGGTCTCTAGAGAGTGGTAGAACTGGTTCTAGAGAAAAGAGTGCTTATAGATTCAGTACAACTTGTATTGGTACTAGCAGCTCAACCTAATTGTTGGTAGGAGAAACACAATAACTCTCTCTAAAAAATTTCAATTGATTCACCATTTTTTTTTGTTAGAACCTATGCTCATTGATCTTTCCAACCATATAGAATACAACATCTAATTCTATATGTGTGTAAAATGGTAGCCATTTGAAGTGGGCTGAAATTCTATCGTTGTTCAGTAGGTGACCAACTTAATGTTTTTAAGAAAAATGAGATAACTTCTCACACAGGAGTCTGATTGTAACTAATGACCTATGGTTGGAAAGCTTGAGAAGCCTACTTTAAGATGGAATTGGTTCTATTATGAAATTCATAGTCTTAACTGGAAGTCTATGGATTGATCAATCAATCTAACAGATAAACATCTACATGGAAATGAAGGTGTTGGATTTGTATAATTCAAACCTTGGGATTCATTTGTACTATAATAAATTAGATGGCGAATTGGGAATGTGTTGTCACCAACATGATTATACATTCATGCATATGTATACATAATATATTATATATGTGTCTTGTGACAACGTCTGATAGATACGGAGGCGACGATGTTAATATCAGGTCCACCTAAGCTATCGAAGGAGAAGTGAACTTGGGTTGATATTTGGTTTGAGGTGAGTTATTGTCTCATATTAATTGAAAATGTGCTCGACTATTATAAGCTATATATATATATATACTAATAATAATTCGTGCCTGAAGGCACTAAGCAATTAAAAAACCTCGATTACCAGTAATACAATATAAATATTTCAAACAATACTTTATTTTTTATTATTTTCCTTAGTTACACAATTCAAAATTAATTTGAAAACACTATTTTAAAAAAAAATTGATAAAAACTTCTCTAAAAACACGACCCCTAAAAAATATCAACATGTACACAATTTATATATTTAATCATTGTACATAAAAAATATCTTTTTTTTTTTTGTAGAAATCAATATTGACATGTGTGTGTTGATGGGTTATAGTGAGAGAGAGAGTTATATGAGAGATGTGATAAACTTATGAGAGATGAGAATATGATATATAGAGAGAGATTTGGGTATTAATGAGTATTAGATGTATTATGTTATTATTAGCTATATATATATAGTTGTCCAAGCCAAACTCTCAGAAGATAGAGTTATATAAGAGATGAGAGTGTGTGAAAGAGAAAGAAATGTAAAAGAACTAAAAATCTAATTAGGATCATATAGATATAGATATAGATAGATAGATATAGGATGACACACATGGGTAGAGCTACATAGGGGCGAGGGTGGACACGGGTCCATCTTCAATTTTTTTAAAAAAATATGATATATATATATATATATATTCTAAAAGTTATACACATATTTTTTTACTTGTGCTCACTCTATAATTTTCATATTTTAATTATTTAGTCTTTTTTATTATAATAATATGATTTTCTTCAGATGACCTTCATTTTATTATAATTTTTTGCAAATGAAAGTTCTTTCAATTGATCTTCATTTGATTTTATTTTTTCTACGAAAAATTATCTTTTATTTTTATTTGAGTATTGATTATAGTCTTTATTATGTGTCAATCGATTTTTAATTTTTTTTCTATGTCTCTTAGATTTTAGTTTAATTGTTTTATTATACTAATATTTTAGTGATAATGTTTAAAACATCATTTATTGAATAAATTTAATAAATTGTAAGTGAATAATTGATATTTTTTAATTATAAAGATGACAATTAGCTTTACTTTTTACATTGGTGATAATTAGTCAATTTTTTATACATATATATATATATATATATATATATATATATATATTATTTATTGGCCTTTTTATGTTAAATGAACTTCATGTATCAAATATGATATAATAAATATAAATATATTATACAGTGTTATTGGTTAAGAAAAAAAAATTAAAGTCTATATTAAAGTGTCCACCTAAATAAAATTATTGCCTCCGCTCCAGATGACATATTTTAATGAACCTATAATTTATTAGAAATAATCTTTGTTATTATATATATATATATATATATATATATATATATATATATATATGAGATGGAAGAGTGTGTGTTTAAAACTTGTAAGAGATAGCAGAGAGAGCATGAGATAGAGGGAGAGAGAGTTGTATCAATTAGTATGAGATAAGAAGAGAGAGGAGATGAGATAATGTGTTTAAAATGTCTAAGAGATAGAGAGAGAAAAAGAGTTATATGAGAGATAGGAGTGTTAGAGTTAAATTCAATTATGATCGTCGAATCAGTATTTTTGAGATGATCTGAACTGTGTTTTATGTTGGAATTATGTTGTCCGTTGAATTTGTTTATGTTTTGTCTCAAAACGATCTGGACCTCTCTTTATCTCTAGAATTCAAACTTCGTTCTACTTTATATTATATATATATATATGTGTGTGTGTGTGTGTGTGTGTGTGTGTGTGTGTGATAATAACTTAATTGTGTGTTGAAGGGTGCTGTTTTGTGCGATGATGATTAGATTTGAATTGAAGAATTATGTGGAATTTGTGGTTTAAACTGGCGAGACTATTGGGTATAAGCAGTAGCGATGTAATAGCTGAGACTGCTAAGCTTGCTGTAATATTGTGATTTGTAAATGCTAGTTTTAGTATTATGGAAAAAATGTTAATTTTATTACTGCACAGGTTAATTACTGCTACTTAATTATGGATTTAAGATTAATGGGTTTGGAATTCTATCTCTTTTTTTGGAATTGGATGTGATATTTGGAGCCAGCTATTATATTTATTTTTTGTTTTAAAATAAATTAAATTTTATGAACAAATTATTTTTTAAAAAATAAATAATATTTGGAAAATTTTCAATCACACCCCCTTTAGTTTATTATATCTTCAAAGACACTCCCTCTATTTTCTGAATCTTCAATGATACTCTCTGTCAGATTAAAAATAGTAACTAGAATGTAATTTTACTGAATTGTCTATGATATATTTGAGGACAAACTTCATTCACACCCCCTCTAAATAAATATATCTTCAATGAGACCCCTTCATTTTTTAACTTTTTTTACATATTAAAATTCAAGTCAATTAAAATTCGATTCAAGTTAATTAAAATTTGAGCCAATTAAAAATTATTTTTAATCTACTCAATTCAAATTTTAATCAACTCACATTGAATTTTAATCAGCCCAAATTTAAATAAATAAAAAATATAAATTTTAATTGACTCGAATTTTAATAAATCGAATTTTAATTAACACGAATTTTAATAAGTAAAAAATATAAATTTTAATCGACTCAAAAGAGAATTTTAATCGGTGCTAACAACTCAGGTAAAGTTTAAATCAGCTTAAATTTTAATAGCCTCAATTTTTTTTAAAATTTACTAATTAGTAAATAATAAATTAGTATTTACTAACAAATTAGTTATTAAAATTGTTATTTACAAATTTTTTTAAAATTTTAACAGTTTGAATTTTAATAAAATTTTATGTAGAAAAATTACTTGGGGTTTGTGTAAAGGCATTTTTGGTATTTTAGATGAATTTTTTTTGTTAGAAATGATAGTTTAATAGTAAGGGGTGTTAGTGATGTTTAAATTAAATTAGAAAGAGTGTAATTGATGTTTTTAATAATAAAAGAGATATCTTTAAAGATATAATAAATTAAGAGGAGTGTGAGTGATATTTTCCCGTAATATTTCTATTCAAACCTATCCAAAAGGCAAGATGATAAAACGCAGTCGCTTGCGGCGAGGCATGGGAGATGGAATAGATAACTATGCCATTTGTTTGTTTTTTTATCACAGATAACTATGCCATTCAAGTCAGTACACGAAATACCTAAAATACCCACATTCGTCATCAGCCTATATATAGCCTCGTAGCGCTTGTGTTACCGCCAAAGACTCTCATTCGAAACATCTGTCTCTCTCTCCAACTTTCGCTCTCTAACAAGAAAGAGCCCTCACAGTCTCTGCAACTCCAAGCACGGTATCAGCGTATTACTCTCTCTCTCTCTCTCCGCATGAATGTATGTGCATTCTTGATTGCTTTCGCTAACTTCTGTTTGTTGTTGAAAGATCGTCAATGGCGGACGGTACAAAAGAAGATGGCGATCTTACTGTGCAAGATATCAATGGCAACAAAGAAGAGGACATAAAGAACCTTCAGACTGCAATCGAACTGGTCAAGCGTGATCGAGAGGTCTTCGAGAAGAAGTTGAATGAGTTGCGAGGCGTGTTTTATGAAGAACACGAAAATCTTGATCTTGAAGTTTCTGAGAACGTTCAAGGAATTGAACCGAAAATGTACGGTTCCAATGAGATTCGGAAACGGTCTTCTCAACCAAACCAAGGTCTCTCCCTCTCTCTCCATGAATACGGTTTACATATACCATTACATAGATTCGTATTATTTTTTTTTTGTTGATTGATTTCTCTCTGTAAATTTCTAATTGTGTTTTTATTGATGAAAAATTAGAGAATGAAATTCCCGACAAATTTTCGAAAGTAAGAGACGGTGTTCAAGAACTAGACCAAAAGATGTATAATTTTGAAACTGAGTCGATACATGACAAGAGAAGCACAGAGGAAATGGGGGCGAAAAAAGGAGTAATCGAGTTGTTCCCTAGCAATCAAGACGTGGAGAAAAATACGGAGAAGTTTACGGATGAGTCTGGTGACTTTGGTAGTCTTTGGGATGACTATACCTGCCATCTTGGAATTTCTGCAACTGTTGAAGAGTATATGAAGGCCACGGTGAATGGGATGCAGAAAAAATATGAGCTGATGCATTTGAAAGAGGCTCCAAAAGAGCCTGATCAGTCCAATGATCAAACTGAAGTTGGTTTCTATACAAATATTGAAGAAGTGGAACAAGAAATGGGTGAACAGACGAGAAAATTAGGAGAAAATGGAGACAACGAAGAACAAGGTGGGGTGAACAAATCAAATGTGCCGTGGATCGTTGGGGATGATGTTTCTGATGTTCAGGGACTGGAATTTGACAAAAGCAGAGGAAAATTCACAGGAGAAAACAAAGAAGTGATGAAAAAGGATTTAGATGAGAAGCAGAAAAAGACTACTCGGTTGGATGAAAAATCTGAGGCCTTAGAACTGATATCAAAACAAATGGTTGATCTCGAGACTGAGATCGCTAGCCTGCAAGTTGATCTTATGTTTTTGGTGCATGAAAAGGAACAATTGGAAGAGAAGTATGTACTGCTGAAATCAGAACTTGTAAAGCTGAAGGAGGATAATTGTGAGAAGGAATTAAAGATTTCCAATCTTGTGAAGAACAGTGTCGCTGCTCTACTGGCAGAACCAGTTGATCGTGATCTGAGAGGCAAATTTCAAAGCCAAATGAAGAAAATCATAGCAAAACTGGAGTCAACACTGGATCAATCAGAGAAACTGCAACCGGTTGATCGTGATCGGAGAGATAAATTTCAAAGCCAAATGAAGAAAATCAAAGCAAAACTGGAGTCAACACTGGATCAATCAGAGAAACTGCAACCGGTTGATCGTGATCGGAGAGACAAATTTCAAAGCCACAAGAAGAAAATCAAAGCAAAACTGGAGTCACCACTGGATCAATCAGAGAAACTGCAACCGGTTGATCGTGATCGGAGAGACAAATTTCAAAGCCAAATGAAGAAAATCAAAGCAAAACTGGAGTCAAAACTGGATCAATCAGAGAAACTGCAAATGTTGAATGGTGTTGCATCAAGGGGGAATTCGCAGGATGCAGAGAATATCACGAAGGTATTGAAGCGGATCGCTGTTGTCACTGCTCTGTTTTGCCTCAGTATCTTGAAGGCAAATGCACGGAAGAGCAAGAAGTGAAATGGTTAGAATGCATTACTCAATTGTGAGGCATATGACGTTTTAGTTGCTTTGACAATTGTTTTGAATTGCTCTTTGATTCATGATTCTTGTTAACTGCTACATTGCATTTCCTGAAGGGTAGATGACTAGCTATATAGAATAAAAGATCTGAATGCACCTCTTATGGTCTGTCTGATCACAATAGCAGATGATTTTAGCTTTTTAGTTAATAGATTTGTCTGAGCTTCCTGGTTTCTTTGATTTGTGGTATTCTAATCATAGTAGATTGATTGCAGGCACTAGTTTGTCATGTGTTTCTGGAAAGCTTGAGATATTGTGATTGAGGTAGAATCTGTTTGCAGGACAGGGAGGGGGGATAATAATGAACTCTTCCCTTCTGCCCATCCTTTTAACATTGCCGCCGCAATTTGGCACCACACCCTAGGGTTAAGGTTCTAAGTTTTTCAGCGAGAACCGAACTTGTAATCCACATCGAAAAGTATTCTTAGCCTATTGTAAATATGGGTAATTCTACGTTACCGAAAGAAAATACTAGGAGTTATTAACTTCATTATCGGTCAGATTATGAATAATCTGATCAATTAAACTTCACTTTTAAAAAATATAATTTAACTTCAAAAAAATAAGAATTTTTCCTTTAAAAATTATATTTTGTATCAAACTTTCAGCCGTCTAACTTAAAAAAAATGTAACTTGACCTCAAAAAATTATAGTTTCTAACGCGGTATGATACTGTAATCTTCTTTTGTAAATATCTTACCCATGTGAATTCTTATCTTGTTTGTATATCTATATCTATATAATAAAATAGATAGATTGTTTGTCTTGAGTTTTTTGCGGCTCAGAACATTTTGATCGGATGGTCCCAATTGAACTTTTATTCTTTTTATATCTCTAAAACTCCTATCACTCATATAACTCTCTCACTCTCTCTCATACTATTGTCATTTTTTTTGTTTGCACTGTATTGTTTTTGTTATTATTTACTCCATAAAAATAAAATTACATATTATACAATTATTTATTTAATGAAATTAATTCAAAATTTTTATATATCTGACAACATGTATTTTCTCGGTACTTCTTAATTTGTAAATAACATTTAATGTAAATAAAAAATGACACATTGACTATAAACACTAAATAATATTCAGCACGAAATGAGCCTTAAATTGTAAATTAATATATAATTTTATCAAAAATTGATATTTAATTTGTCCAATTTATATTCAACTTTATCGAATTAATATCAAATTAATTATTATTATTATCAAATTAATATTGAAATTCATTTAATCAATTTTTTGGGTATTAAATCAAATTTTATTTGATTTTATTAAATTTTTAATTTTTTTGGTACTAAATTTGAAGAAGGGCAATTGTAAAAATAATAAAATATTTTAGGATGAAATTATCAATTTTCGTTAGCATTATTAATTGAAGGGAGACATAATAGGGGGTCTCCATACAATAAATTTCAAACCTTAGGGTCTCTTCATGTTATTTATAAAATGTCTGGAGGTGTCTGTATAATATTGTCAAAACTCAAGAGCTATCTAAGATTATTACTCTCTTTTTTAATTAAATATTATTTTATCTTAAACTTGAATTATTGTATTTCTAATAAAAATAGTTATTGGTTAGCAGGGTTTGTTGGTAACAAAAAAAAATGTGAGTGGGATTGTTTATGTTTTTATTTATATGTGGAGGATTGGACATTTGGTGATTAAATTTATAATTAAATTGTGTCATTTGGGGTTAAACGGTGATAATGGTGATGAATTCATGAGCTTTATAAATGAGTAAGATTTGGTTGATTTTATTTATCGTTTAAAGATTATGAATTTAATTTTGTTCTGTTAATTTTTTTTTTAGGTATTTATTATATAGGGATAAGATAAATTGAAATTATGGTGGTTGAGTTTATAATTATGTTGTGTTATTGGATTGAGCGGTAGTAGAGATGATAAATTAGTGAGTTTTATAAATGAATAAGATCTTATTTATTTTATTTATTACTTTAAAGATTGTAAATTCAATTGGTTATGTTAGTATTTGTTTTTTTTTTCAAAGGCATTTATATATATAGGGTTATTTTGGAGAGTTTTTCTATATTTTTATGACAGTTCCATTAATATGGATGATATAGTCGACAATATATTTCAAGTCATTTTGAAAGAAAAATTTGTTTGAATATTTTTAGATCATTCCTTTAGAATTTGAACAATTATTTAAGATTTTTTGTTTATTATATAGTGTCTTCAAATACGGGTAATGATTAGTAATTCTATAAGGACCATATTTATAGGCATAATTATAGACCAAAATTCATCGTCAAAGATTATATCAAAGAACAAACTCTATCAACCCACAAAAACACCCTAAAACATTGGGAAAAATATAATGACCACACATCAAAATATCAAAATTGCATAGAAAAGCAACTTACATGGTCTAAAACATAGCAAGGAATAAACGTGTTCTGTTCTCCAAAAGCATTAATGAGAAGACTCCACGGCAAATGAAGTTCATTACTTTATATAATTTAATAATATTTCCTAAGCCTAAAAGCTCATTCATCCTCCTGGCTGCGCAACCTGGCAAGCTTGTTTGTGACAACAACGTCAAGCTGAGCAGCACGCTCCACAATCTCTTTCCTCTTCCTTGTGGACACATTGTGTGCAATCTCTGCACAGTAAGTCCTGCCAAGCAATAAGATTGGAAAAGCAATAGCCAAGTTAGGGGACTGAAAATTAAAAAACAGAAACAAAGTTTGACTGAAACAGAGAATGGCAAAACCTTGTGATGTAAATTAGTCCTTCTTGATTAGTCCCAGCTTGGGTTGCTATTGGACCACTTTGACAGGTATTATCTTGTGCAGTTGGAGCATAGTTCTTCGTTTTGACCTGGTCCACTGAGAACATTGAACAACACTATAAGCTAAACCAAAATTAAAAAAAAAAAATTATTAAAGCACAATGAATCATGCTTACAGGTATCTTGACCCTTGGACATTTTTGATCAACAAAACCTTGTGATGTAGCTAGTCCTCCTTGATTAGTCCTAACTTGTGTTGCAGATGGTGCTGTTGGTGTATGAGATGGTGCATCATCTTGGCCATTGTCCTCTTGTGCAGTTGGGGTTGGGGTTGTTGTATTGCACTTTCTCTTGTTGTGTCCAATTTGACCACATTTACCACATTTAATGGGTTTGTACTTCCTCTTTAATTTTGTTCCTGATGGGGGTTCATCAATCTCCCTCCTCCTAGCTTTCTTAGGCCTACCAGGCATTCTACCTACATGTGGAGGAAGAATATGTGAATACCCAGTCTTAGGTCACATGTCCTTTCCGTTGATTGGATTCATATGGTGGCTATAACGCTTTAAGAATGTTTGCACCTTGCACCAATCAGTTACATTATCCTCTGGTTGTAACCCCAAGTAGTGAAGAGCAGACACTGCATGCTTACATGGAATTCCTGTTAAGTCCCACTTGTTGCATCTACAACTCCTATCTTTCACATTTATGGTTCTTTGCTCACCATACATCCCCACCACCTCAAATTTGTGGTCTTCATTCTAAGTTGGTATGTAAGCTGCAGACTCCATTTTAACAAACTCCAATCTCTTTTGTATGTTAGGACATATAGAGGCTTTGTAGTTGTTGAGGAAATCTCTTTGTCTATGTATTTTTTCCATGAGCCACACTCTGATTTTCTCAAGCATAGTTATAATAGGTTTGTCTCTAGCCTCAACTATGCTATCTTTAAAACTCTCACACAAATTGTTCAACAACATGTCACATTTGGGAAATGTACTAAAGTGGGACCTAGATCAATTGACTGTTGGTCCATCACACAACCATTTGTATGCATCTTCATCAATCATATGTAATTCATCCATTATTCCTTTAAAATCAACCAAGTTTGTAGACTTAGCAGCCCTCCACAGCAAATCTTTTAAGGCCAAACCCTTATGCTCTTTTGAAGTTGGTGTACAAGTGCCTAACACAAAACCTATGGGCAGCATTTGGAAAAATATTTTCAATTGCATCTAAAATTCCGTGCAGCAGATAAGTACATATATTAAGTCAATGCATGTAAAGGTCAAACAAAGTAAATAAAGGTCAAAACAATGTAACTATTGGTCTAACCTTCTGCTTATTTGAGATAAATGTCCAAGCATGTGAACTTACAATATTCAGGTCATCTTTCACCAGCTGAAGGAACCAATTCCAAAATTTTTTCCTTTCTTACTCCACCACAGCAAAGGCAAAGGGGTACATTTGATTGTTGGCATCAATCCCCACAGCTAACAATAAAATATTAGTTTGTGCCCCCTTAAGATGACACCCATCCACACTAATTAATGGCATGTATCCTTCAATCAAGCCCACTTCAATGCACCAAAAAAAATGTATAATCTCTTGAATTTGACTTGTTCACTAGCTGTAGATTTGGTTTTAATTATACACTTGGTTCCGGGGTTAGTTCTCCTCAATTCTTCACAATAATTCCACCGCAGAGCATATTGCTCCTTATTAGTCCCACTAACATATGTCGTTGCTTTAAATTTTCCCCTATACACCTAACTTCTATGCATATATAGAACATTTTACTTATCTACTGTTTCCTTAAGTGATTTCATTGGCCATGTTGGGTTTGATCTGATCCTCCCAACATATATACTAGCTATCCACTTAGCATTTACTGTCTTCACCTTGAAAGATCTACTATAGTTGTGATCTTTGATGGGACTTTTCTGAAATACTCCAAGATGAAGACACGTGTCCTCGGCGTCACTAAAAATCCTGTTACTGAGATCACGTACCATCGGCTTACAACTCCCTCGCCCCCGAGGTACTTGACATATGGTCAAGTACGTTTTACGAACTGACACGTATCCCTCGGTCTGATATGGTACCTCGGTCGCCATGTACAGCTCCCCCTCGGCTCGAGATGTACCTCTTCTCGGTACCGAGATGTACCCCCGTCCAGGATGCCTTTTCTTTGCTCCAGTATAAGCTATTGATGTACAGGTCATTAGCCTAGGCTAGTCTAGGTTAGCTATCATGGTCTCGTCTTACACAATTGGTGTCAGAAGGCACAGGAAGGCAGGGTCCACAGCCAATGAGGGATGGACGCGTGGCAAATTGTGTCACATCAGAGACAGAAAAACTGCATGCCCTTGCTGACACGTGACTTGGGAAAGCAAACATTTAATTACATCATTTCCTTGATGAGACCGTATTCAATGCTGTAAGGCTCGGAATTGAAAGACAATAAATGTTTCTAAGGCTGGGCATTTATTGCATCCTCCCCGAGTGGAGCTCATTGGACAATCGACAGTCTGATGACACAGCATTGATTGCTCAGGACTCCGAGTAGTTAAAGAAGAGAAGACATTCCTCATCAGAATCAGTGCACACACTGCCTGTACCTAATGATCACCTACTGACAACACTGACAGCAATCATGAGCTTTTGAGGTATAAATACTCCTCGTAAAAGGCAAGACGGTATGCAACAAAAAACCTTTGGTACAATACACACTCAGTGTTTTTTTATTCCTCTCTCTCTCAAATATTGACTTGATCGTCGGAGGGGATACCCGGAAAACACTCTGGCGCCCTTCTAACTTGTTCTTCGTTGTTCTAGGAACCTTTCTCCAGCCTTACTGGATCGTTCCTTCAATCTACAAGGGTCTCCCGTTGCCATTCCAGGTTACCCCCGGACCTCACAGGCTGTCCCAAGCAGCGTGGTTGACCACTCAACTGACTCACTCGAGTTCACCAAAGGAGAGATCTGGTCTCGTTTTTTATATTGTGCAAGATCCTGCACACACAATCTGGCGCCGTCTGTGGGAAAACGACTAGTTTTCCTAGTTTTTTCTCTATAAAGAACAGTGACCATGGTGAACACTCGACAAAAAGGGAAAGGTCCCCACCAAAGAAGTCTCGAATTACAAGCTCCCTATCACCATGGAGGAAAGGATCACGCTGACGGGAATAAAAATGCCTCCACTCAGTCAAGAGGGGTTATCCCTCAAACCAGTATGGGAATTAGGTCAGGAGGATCAGCCCCTGGCTCGTCAGCTGGCGGAGGTGATCGAAGAAAAGTTTGGCGATAGATCACGACAACTGGAAAAGGACAATGTAAACGTCCTAAGCCAGCTCAACGAATTTGCCGCCTCCGGCGAAAGGTCAAGGGACTCATTCCTCTCTCGTGGGCTCCCCGCCCGGGAGGCAGAAACGAAGGATCTAAGGAATCATCTAAACAACAAGGCAGAGAGCTCCCGGGCTCCAAAGCGACCGAGAGCCAACGAGCACCTTCCTAACGACCATTCAAGGAAGGCAAGACCATTAGCCCCAGACGACCTCCGGCGAGGATTGTCTAGACGGAGGGAGGGGGATGAGTCCGAGGAGGATTCTACCCTATCCGCACGGCGCCCAGGAAATGAGGGGCCCATTGATGAACTCAAGGACTTCAGAAGACATCCCGTCAGGAAGGAAATTGATCTTAGAGCCCGGCTGGAATTTAGGAGAAAGAGTAAGGCTGTCCAGGATGAGGTCGAAGACGAGGTCATACAAACACCCTTCACCAGGGAGATCGGAGAGATGAAGGTTTTAAGAAAGTTCATCGTGCCGAGGTTCAAAACTTATGACGGGCGGTCCGATCCCGAAGCTCATCTCAGGCAATACAAGCAGATGATGTCCCTCTATCATTCGGACCAATGGTTTCTCTGCCGAGTGTTTCTAATAAGCTTGGGGGACTCTGCGATGAAGTGGTTCGAGGCGCTTCCCCCAAACAGTATTGGGTCGTGGAAGGAATTGACGAGGCAGTTCGTGGCTCGATTCATTACGGGGAGTAAGCGCCCCAAAGACGTTGGATCATTGCTGACCCTCAGACGTAGGGAATCCGAGACCCTTCGCCAGTATGACATCCGATACTGGGAAGAGGTTAATGAGGTAGAAGGCTGCTCGGAAGTCATGGCAGCGGCGTCTTTCCGGCTCGGCCTGGCGAGGGACACGGACCTGTACCGATCCCTGACCAAGAAGACTCCCTCGGATATGGGGGAGCTGATGGCCCGGATAAACAAATACTCAAGGATCGAAGACGAGATAAGAAGCAGCAAAGGCCGAACCCTGCAATCTAAGAGAAAAGAGAGGGAGCGGGAAGATACTCCCCGAAAGGGGTTGCTACCCCCTCCAGGGGGTTCGTCCAAAGGAGTTCACACTATGTTCAAAGAACCCATCTTCAAGTTGCTCCATAAGATCAAGCACGAGCCATTCTTCAAATGGCCGCCCAGGATGCAGAGCGATCCCTCCACCCGTGATCAAAGGGTTAGGTATTCCTATCACCGGGATTTCGGACATCGCACCGAAAGCTGCAGGGTGTACAAATCGTTCTTGGAAAAATTGGTCCGAGACGGATACTTGAAAGAATACATAGAGCCCAAGCCAGAAGAGAGACACACCATTGCCCCGACCGAGGAACCGGACAACGTCATAGATGTCATCTATGTATGTCCCCTGGATCGCCCCACGTCCAAGGAACTTGAGTCCGACCTCAAGAGGGTAGCTTTTACAAGGAAGGTGGCCGAGGATGATGGAGGGCCACCCAGTAAAAGGGCCAGGACTGGTGAGCCAAGCATCACGTTCTCGGACGCGGACTTGACAGGCGTAGTGACTCCTCATAACGACGCCCTTGTCTTGACCCTGAAGATAGGAAAATTCGACGTCAAAAGGGTGTTGATAGACTCTGGAAGTTCCTCGAAAGTGATGTACTCCGAGACTTTAAAACGGATGGGTCTTGTCCTCAAGGACCTCACCAAAGTCAAAACACCTCTCATCGGATTCAACGGCTCGTTTGCCCTGCCGTAGGCAAAATCACATGCCAGTTGTCACAGGTCCCTTCATCATCAACACCGAGTTCGTCGTAATTGATACG